GCAACAGGGAGCTGAGTCCATAGCATTGGAAACAAGGAAAGTCTAGAGCTGTGCTGTCCAATGTGGTAGCCATAGTTAGATGTTACTTTGAGCACTTGAAATGTGGCTATTGCAATCAAGGGACTGAGTTAACCTCCCCATGCTGGTCTAGAATACCTATAACAGAGGGAGAGAAGTTTTCATGGGACTGAAGAGGACCATTGGAGAGTGAGTTTGTGAAATATGGTAAACTATGGTGAACAGTCAAGACTTTATTCTAGAATGGTAGAGAACCACTAAAAGATCTTATGAAGGGGTGAGCCATAATCAGATTGGCATTCTGCAGTTGGCCTGTGAATAGGATGCTACTGCTGGATTTGAGCAAGGAAGGGGTAGTCATAAAGTTGTACCTAAGGAGGATTGATCTGGAGTAGGGTATGGAATAGACTGGATAGGGGATGGAGGGAGGTGGAGAGGCCAGAGGGGGTAGAGGTAGAGCATAGTGGTTTATAATGTAGGCTCTGGAGTCTGATTGCCAGAGCCAAATTCTGGGTTGGCCATCTTCAATTTGCTTGGAGGAAGGATGTTTCAACTTTGTGAGCAGTGCTTGGTCCTGGAACTGGCCTGACTTACGCAGCTACAGGACAAGTGGAAGGGGGGTTATTTGAGCTTGCAGTCACGTCTCTGGGGGCCATTGTGAGTTGCCATTCTGGGAGTGGGGCACAGGGACTATGTCCTCATGTTTTTTGTTTCACTTGGTGCAGAAATTAAGGTCCCTTGATGACATCTCATTCAATCTTCTTTGACCTTATTTGGTAAGCTTTTCACTAAACTTTTATGGAAAGTCTGTTATTCTCATCTGCTTCCCATAAGAAAGTGTTTGGCAGTGGCAGCGAGTCCCAAGACTTACTGGAGAGGAGTGGTTTCCTGAAGGTCCCCCACAACATTCTCATACAGCTTGCTTTCCCCAGTTGCAGACCAAGCAGACTGATGGAGCAGATTTGCTTTCTCTTTGGAGCATTCTGAGAGGTGTGGCTAGGAAGGTGGAATGAGAATTGGAGCAGGCAGCATATGTGGAAATTAACACTGTAGATGCAAAAAACCCTAGCTAGCACTATTAGAAAAGGAGGCATTACTGAAAGGACAGCTTGTGGAATCCAAGTGCTGGATACAGTAGTCCTGAGGAAGAGCTGGAGAGGGGAACCCTAGGATTGCCAGGATGTTTCAGTTCTTCTGACTACGGGCATTACCTGTGCTGCATCTTGCTCCATGTGGTCACCTCAGCCAGCCCTGAGCTCTTGAATTTACCTTTCATAGATCCAGCTGGAACCTGGGAGAGAGCCCAGCTTCGGTCAGTTTTCACCCTTGCTCTAGGCCGGCCTGATTTGCTAGGAATGACCTTGTGGAACAAATATAGCTCCAGGGCCTCCCTTGCCATGATGCTTAGGGCAGAAGTTCCGCTTGGTTGTTGTCAGAATGGTGTTCACTATGGTATCATATATAATAAATATACAATATAAATACATATATAAATATTAATTTCCTAAGCCGTATCTGAGATATTATATCAAAAATTAGTCTAAAACCCACTTTTTCTCCTTATACTTTTACATCCTCAGCCACTCTGGTATAATGCTTATTTACAAGAAAACTCTTGGGGTGCCTGAGTGGCTCAGTCAGTCGGTTGAGCATCTGACTCTTGATTTCGATTCAGGTCATGATCTCATGGCTTTGGGAGATGGAGCCTTGTGTCGGGCTTTGCACTGACAGTGCAGAGCCTGCTTGGGATTCTCTCTCTCCCTTTCTCTCTGTGCCTCCTCACTCTGTTTCTTCTCAGAATAAATAAATAAACTTAAAAAAAAAGAAAACTCTTTTGATTTTGCCTTGTTTTTTTATAATATCAGCTATTTATACATATGAGTGGAAGGGTAAAACCTAATTTTATATGATACTTCAATGATCTACATCTTTTTGGGGAGGAGGAATTAGAGCGAATGTCTTACAGGAATTAAAATTCACTGTGTATGAAAGATCACATTTGAGATGATCATGATTTATAGAGTAAAATATAGGTTTAAGGTCCTCAACAGCTACTTGGTAAATGAAAGAGACAGAATTTTTGTGTTTTAACAACTTTGGTAAATATTGTACGTAAAATGAAAATAAATCAAAGTTCAAGTTGTACAAGGTAGAGTTTCTGGTGATTTCTGTGATATATTCCACTTTTCTATCTTGAATATCACGTTGAATCAAGAGGCAATAAAAATATAGGTCTCTAGTTTAGTTTATGGTTGGTAAACTACAGCCCATGGGCCAAATCTAGCTTGTCACTTGGTTTTTTAGATAAAGTTTTATCAGAGGACTGGCATGCTGATTTGTTTACATATTGTCTCTGGCCACTTTTACGCTACAATAGCAGAGTTGAATAATTGCAACAAGAGACCATTTATGGCCTGCAAAGCAGAAAATGTGTGTTATCTGGCTCTTTACAGAAGAAGTTTGCTGATCCCTGGTTTAGGTCATCTGAGGCAGTGACTTTTAAAGTGGCACTGAGGGGTCCTAGAACCCTGTGAGACAGGCCGAATCAGCCAAGGGTGATACCTAGCAGGGCAAGCCATCTGGGCCCCTAGTCCTATTTCATCTAGAGTAGTTTGACTCTGTTGGGCTTCTGTGTAAGAAGTGATATGAATAAAGAAAGGATTGTCTTGCTTCAAAAATGCCATCAAAGCTACTGATCTCAAAGCACAGGAAGGCGTTCAGAACAGAGAGAGGGTCTCTCTCAGATTGTCTAATTATCTTATTGTGAACAAAGTGATTGCCTTGGCTTGACATAATGTCTCCAATGTAGAAAAAAAAATCCTTGACAGGAATTTGGCTGCTGAGGTGGACCTCTGTAATTACTGACTTGTTGGAAATTGCTTTTCAGTCTCTGGCAGGCTGATTTCCCTTTTTACAGGCAGAGATGCTGAACTTCTTTCTGTGCTGCAGTCAGATTTTAAAAGACTGCTCTGTGACTAGAGTTGATGAAGGGGTGAAGTTCATACTCACAAGGCAATGGCTGAAAGTAAAATGTGCCAAATCCTGGACTTTGGTTCTAATTCTTAAAGCATCAACACATTAATCTGGCCTTGAACCTGATGCCATGGAAAATGGCCTTTAACATAGCTAATTTCCTCAAGTGTTTCTATTTTTGTAACTTAGGGGAAAATCTAAATGTGAATTGCAAGAGTTACTCAGGGTGAGAAATGGAGCCTTGGGATTGGGCAACAAGGATAAGGCCATTTGGTTTAGTTTAGGTTAAGCCATATAAACTGCAGATGGTTATCAAGCTTGCCATGCCTGATGAAGATTTTAACTATGATGCATTACGGTATATGATATGCCAAAAGAATTGCAAAGTCTTGCCAATTTATATGGGCAGAGACTTGGGGCATATGTTTGCAAATGAATTTGCAGGGTGTTAGATCAGGAGGGTGGAATTTATTGTTGGAACAAACACAATTTATACATATGGATGCAGTGACCAGAGGTCATCTAGAAGGGAAAATCTAGAAAGGGTGATGGGGATTGGGTAGCACTTGCTTCATCCCAGAAGTTTACATACATTATCTCATTTAATCCTCACAGTGTCCCTGTGAGATGGCTGTTATTATCCATATTTTACAGATAGGGTAACCATTAATTAAGTACTTCTCAAGGTCATGCAGCTAATAAGTACTTAAGCATATTTGCCCAATGTTTTTCTAGGGGGATGTGATTGGAGTTGGAAAGTGAGTGAGTGTCTGAGAAGAGCTCCCCTGCACCCAGCCCCATTTCATGTGAGGGAAAGGAGAAGTAGATATGGTCTCTTTAGATCCAGAAATCTCTGAATATAATTCAGGAGGAATCTAAAGCAGTGGGGGAACTTAGCTTGTTTCCCAGAGCAGGCTGGGGAGACTAGGTGATGCATATTCAACTGGCTTTGTGAGTGGAGAAGTGGCAATGGCTGAAGACAGCCATATAAGACCCAAGCTCCAATGTGGTATGGAAAAAGAAGCAGTGAGGCTCTTAGCTGTCACAGGAAGCTGTGGTAGATGCTGAGAGGGTTGGAAGACTGGGGAGTCATGGGGCAGGGCCAAGAAAGACTCAGAGTGCGTGGATCTTGTTGAAGTCCATGGTGGGTGCTGCAGTCAGCAGTAGTTGACCTCAGAGGTCAACACCCAAATCCAGGTGGCACCAGTTACTCAGACACTACCTGTAGATGGCAAATATGCCCCAGGGGATGCTTTACCATTTAGGAATTTAGGGGTAGATGAGAAGGTGGGGAAAGAAGAGAATCTCAAAAGACTGATGTTTAAGTAGTGGTGACTGAGTTACTTCTAATTGCCCAGGTTATGTTGTTGTACCTTTGTTCTTTACCACGGGGTTAGAATTAGGAATTTGGAGGCTACAATGAAATTAAGGTATAGAGATATAACATTTTTTGGTACATCACATATAAAGTTATATTTTGCACATTTCTCTTAATTGCTGATAATTTTTAACCAGAATCAGCTAAATTAATTATGCTATTTTTTTTCACATTAGTGACTAAGCTATAGTTTGAATATGAATGGTTTGAAACCATGTTCACTTATATTATTTCACTTAATTTGGGAGGCATGTACAATTGTTTAATATTATGAGGCAGGGTACCATTATTATTTTTTACAAATGTTTTATTTATTTTAATGAGGCTGGTACAGACAATGTCCATTTAAAACACATATCCCCGGTCAAAAAGTACAAATAAAATAAAAAAGAGTAGTGTTCTGTTGAGTACACTTCTGCATGAATAACTTTATTAATTGTTAATGAAAATTAGAATATTTCTGAGATCTTCTTTAAAAAATGTTTTAAAAAAATGTTTTATTTATTTTTGAGCGGAGTAGAGGAGAAGCAGAGAAAGAGGGAGACACAGAATCCGAAGCAGGCTCCAGGCTCTGAGCTGTCAGCACAGAGCCCAGTGCGGAGCTCAAACTCATGAACTGTGAGATCATGACCCGAGTCGAAGTCAGACACTTAGCCAACTGAGCCACCCAGGCACCCCTCTGAGATCTTCTAATAAGACTTTTCTTGTATCTTAAAACACTTTCTTTTCAGTGAAACCATCTTTGAGTTAGTCATTACCCTCGCCATCTCTGTCATCTTGATGCCAGCATGGTATTTCTCTTCTTTTGGTCCAGACCCTCAAATTAAAAGTAGCTTCAAGTTAAGGAAAGGTCATTTTTCCACAGTTCACTTCTCTGAAAAACTTTCATCTCCCACTGAAAATCATAGTCCAGGAGTGAAGCAATCACAAGTTAGAACTTCAGGGCCAACTGGAAAGTCTTTGTGAACACTCGCATTGGTCAATCTTATTTATCATAAGACTGAAAAAGCACAGCCTGGGAAAAGTGGGCCCTCTATGCATGCATGTAATTTTTAAAAAGGAGAGGGCTATATGAAGGGGGCTGAGGTTTGATCACCAAAAATCAGCACAATGAAAACAGGTGGTAATGAATAATGGGCACTAGAATTCAAATTAGCAGATGTTTTAAAGAGATGGGGTGCCAGTTTTCAATTTCATTTTGAACACCACGTTACAAAAGAACTAATTTTAAAAATAGAAAAGGATTGAGGGTAAAGAAAAAAAAGAAGAATATATAAATCATTGAATCATTGATCATTGTTCCTGATAAACTTCAATCACATCTTCCTTCATTCCAATTTCTTTTGGAGTGTAATTATCAGCACTTCTCTGATCTTCAAAGAGAAACCTGAGTGAATTCATTGGAACACTCTGTCTTTGGCAGTGTGATGTTTTGAGTTTATTGAGGTGTGTTGTCATTTTCACTTTGAACTGAATCTCACTGCTATCCTGTCCAATGACTTTCAGTTTAATGTGTTCTCCTACCTTCTTATCCCACAAGTCCTCAGTTGAAGGTTTTGGCTCCTGGTCAGACATGATGATGGTGGCTTCATCCAGGGTCTCCGTACAGTAGCGCCCTCAGGTAGGCAGAACCTCGCTCCAGGGTTTACAAATCCATCCCTCTTCCCCACCGCACAATACCGCGGCTCTGCAAGGTACCATTATTATCCCACATTTTACAGTTAAGGAAACCGAGGCTCAGAGTAATTAGCTTACTTGGCCAAGGTCACACAACTGGTCAATGAATGATGCTGAAATTATTGATTCAACATCCACTTTGAATTATCAGAACCTGGCATGGGACCTGACACATAATAAGAGCACAATAAATATTTGAATGAATGAATGATGGCTCAATTGTGTGGCAGTGTCAGTAGGCTAGTTAGTAGGTTAGGAATCCTCTTGTGAGCAAGGTAAGGAAAAAAAATAATCAGAGCTGGATCCTCCTCTAGGTGAATTAGCTGTCCCTGATGTGCTATGCATTCTAATTTATAGCTAAACCTTTGGAAATACTCGTGGGTCCTGTCAGAAAATACATGGAAAGCAAAAGAGTTTTAGAAGTGAAAAAAAAATGTTTTGTGGTTTAGAGACTCCTGAGGAAAGTTAACTCTTGGGCTGAGTATAGTATGGGGGGAGTATGTCAAGGGCCAAGAAAGTATTTCATATCAGTTCATGCCTCTTAGAGTTGCTTTACAACATCTCATCATGTTGCTGTAATCCATGAGCAGAATAAAAGTGGACAGCCTTCCAGGGCAGATGTAAAGAAATTATAGCTAGTTCTCTAGTGCAAAGTAGTGCCAATTTCAAGTTTGGGTACCAGGCCTCTCCCAACCTGTCCAGCCCGACAGTACTTTTGTTTATTTCCACTTTGCATGTGGCTTTCTGTTAATCTGATTAAAGTACCAGTTCTGTGTATAGGTGTTATATTTCTGGTTAGCACTTTGAGGTTGGGGTCCTAATTGAGAGCTTTTTTTTCACCTTCTGGAAGTACAAGTCCTTTTGAAAACTTATGGTTTTGGAGTTTTGGGACTCTTTAGAATTTGATTTTCATGTATGGGAGGAGGTTCTTTACATTAAAGTCTGAGTGTGTGTGCAAACAAGTGAGCATTTCCTGAACCTTCCAAATGCTGTGCATGTTTGACCTGGACTATACTGAGAGTGGTCTGCACACCTATGCTTAATCTCTCACGCCTCCCACTTATAACTGAGGGATCTGAGTCTCATATTTGGTGTAAATTATTAGGACAACCACATTGGGGGAAAAGTTTGTCAACGTAAATGAGTCTGTAATCAAATACCTGGATACCTCTGGAATCTATCCTTTAGAGATAATTTTTAGTGCAGAAAAAGTTTTATGCCCAAAGGTTGGCATAAATTGAGAGCAATTTCCCCTTTTTTAAAATAAAAAGTTTTTTTTTAAATAAGAGAAAACTTTTAAATAAGATAAAACTTAATAGTTTCCAAATATAAAACTAGCAATGATGTTATATAACCACCAAAATGATTTAAAAAGTACCGAACAAGGTACTTTATTACTTACGATTAATCTTCATTCAAGTTATTATTATCCCATTATTTCAGTCTTGAGGGAAGGGAATAGGCTGTGGAGTTAGAGCTTGTGAACACATAATTCCTTCTTAGAATAACCAGCTTGTAAGGTACAGCCGTGACAAACACTGAAACTGGTGAACAGAGTACTCAGAAAGAAGCCATGAGGCTGACACTTCATAGGTTCCTTGGGATGCCCATAAACACAGCACCCATAATTATTTTTTGTTGTTGAAATAAAAAAAAATTTTTTAGAAATCTTTATTTATTTTTGAGAGAGAGAGAGAGAGAGAGAGAGAGAGAGAGAGAATGAGAATGAGCAGGGGAGGGGCAGAGAGAGAGGGAGACACAGAATCCAAAGCAGGCTCCAGGCTCTGAGCTGTCAGCACAGAGCCCGACACAGGGCTTGAACCCATGAACTGCAAGATCATGACCTGAGCAGAAGTTGGATGCTTAACCGACTGAGCCACCCAGGCGCCCCTGTTGTTGAAATTTTAAATTTTTTTACAAATGAAAATATATTTTAGTTATTTCAGGATAATTTGTAGCAAAAAGCCTTGGAAGATGCTTTTGTAATCTGTTGCTATTATCCTATATAATATTTGCTATATTTGGGGGATGGGAGGTTTGTAAGGCCTGCCTTTCTTTGAGCTTATTTTTTTTAGCCTATAATTCTTTCGATCCCCACTATCACTACTAGGTATTATGAATGTCCTTCAGGCTTACATTCAAATGAGACATATATGGGAGACATCAGACATAACTTTTACACACTCTTAAATTGTTTCTGCAAAAATATATCTTTAAAAATAATAAAATTTATAGAAATGAACTATTACCCATGTTGATATATAACATTAAGATCAATCCAAAGCCTGATTTAAAAAATAATAACCATCAGAACGTGAAAGGAGAACATTCTTTTAGGTTTTTAAGTCAATGTATAATATTGTATAAGTGCAATAGGGTATCATTCCAGACTGGTAGGTGCTTAAAATGAAACTTTCAGACCTTCCACAATAGGGTTTTAATGCTAGAGTAGAAGGGCAGAGGAAAGTATCCTGTAGCCCACCTCCTTTAGGTTACTTCTGCTCACCCCTCAGGTTACAAAGACAGACTTGTAGGCTTGCCAGACTGTAGGCAATACTGGGAACCAGGACAAGTCACTCAAATAGCTGGAAACCTCATGCGTAAACTGTGGAGGCAGGAGTTGGATTAGATCAGCATTTCCTAAACATTGTTTTGAGAAATTCCAGTGTTCTGTGAGGAGTTCAGAGGCATCCACAAGTAAAGAGTTTCCCTGATCAAATATATGTGAGAAATGCCATATCCCTCTTTGGAGATTCCCAGTGTATGTGAGTGAGCATATTCTAGGCTGTGAGATATTCTGTAGTAAAGACATACTGTCCAGTGTTTCACCCAGCATTACTTAAATGTATTTGATGACAGAATCCTGTTAACAAGGAACATATTTTGGGAAACACTGAACTAAGTTTTTTTCCAAGCTCCAAGATTCTGGGATTTTAAACATGCCATCCAAAGGTTGCTTAGCAACATGACAGCCACCTGATTTTCCCACTAGATGGCACCCTTGAATGAGATTTACTTTTTATTTTTGACTTGTTTCTCTTTAGACCTTTTTGGACATCGTTTTCCCTATGTACCAGGAGAGTGCAGATCAGATATGAAATTGATGTTAAAGCCATTATGGTAACATTTTACAAGTTATTTAAAATAAAACAGTGTGTCAACCGTAGGGATAAATAACAACCGAGACTGAAATATGATTTTTTTCTCACTGGAGCAAATAACTTTGTAAAAAAATATGATTTGAACAATACTGATACGTCTTATTTTTCACATTTTAAATCAGACTTTAGCCAGACAAAGTTTAGTTGAACATTTGCATTGTTTTACTGATCAACTTGAAATGTTGATCTGTGAGGCTGCCAGGGAATCTAGTGGCAGTTGGGAACTTTCTTTAGTTTCTATGATGGGTTAAAAAAAAAAAAGTGTCTTCAGCTGTAACACATGTGTATATTTTGTTAGAGATCACTGAAATATTATTGTGTTTAGGTGGCATTTCATCGTCAGAAGGTCTGACTCTCTAGGCAGGCTGTGGTAAGTGGTCTCTTAAAGTCTCCTTCATGTTCTAATAAATTTTTGATTGGTTCTTTATTAAGAATAATTTGCTATTAGGCATTAAGATTTTGCTGGTCTGTGGGTTAGTCAGTCTGTCTTTCACTGGGTCTCACTGTTGTAAGCTTAAGCACATTAGCATCCCCCCCCCCCCCCTTCCCTGGAGTTCATGGAATTTCACACGTTGGTTTAAGTGTGCCCAGGAGTTTTGGAAAATGAAGGCAACTTTACTTAGTCATGCTTCAAGTTTGTTCAACTGAAGGATGTTTACCTATTAGAAATGTGTGCCTTTTTAATGATGGAAAGGGAGCTTTTAAAAGTATAATGAGGAGGCTTCCTGAACAGCTTCCTGAATTACCTGAAATATGTGTGTATATTTGGGGTGGAGGTGACAAGCCAAATTCTGTGACTGGAGTCTCATCTCTCTCTTCCAACGCAACCTTTTGAAGGTGGACTCTTTGTAAGTCCTCTTAGGTCTTATTCCAGTGAAAGATTCTTTCTGAACCCCAAATAGCACCCTGAGGACATTAAAATTCTTTTACTTCCTAAAGGTAAGTTGTCTGAATTGTGATTTTCTTAGCATTACTATCAGATTTGCTACCATCTCATGCTTCATGTTTTGTGTTTTCTCTTAGCTTTTTCCTCTACAACATTCAGCATGGCACAGGCCCTAGTTTTGAAGTTATCTTTGGGCCTTGGATTTTTAGCATAGTTTGTGTGTTGCACTCTTATTTTGTTAGAGCATTTGTTTGAGAAATTTGATGCAGATTTTGTGAGTGTGGTTTATAATGGAAATGTCGGTTAAAACACATAATGATAACCTAGTCAGTATGTATTGAGTGCTTATTGCTCCAGGCACTGTGCCAAGCATGTTACATGTATTAGCTCATTTAATCTTCATAGCAACCTGAAGGGGATAGATATTCTTTCTATGGCATTTTCAGATGAAAATGGGGGATAGATGCTCTTTCTATGGCATTTTTTCACATCTTATGTTTTACCACCACATGAAAGATATGAAATATTCTTGTCCAAATATTTTGTGGAATGTGCATAGGGATCTTTGTAAGGTTGAGACAGGCTGGGCCAAGTGGCTACAAGGTAGCAAGAAATCTCCTGATAATGAGAATTCAACTGCCAAGTTTGTTCTCAGCTCTAGACACCAAGATTTCTTGGCCTGATGGCTTCATATTCAAATATGTTTGGCCATGTTTCTCAAAACACTGAGTTACTATACTTTGCATTAACAGTGCTTGGCTTTGTCTTTTATGCAGAAAGCCCCTCCAGGCCTCTGTAATGTGCTAAAAAAGATCTTGTCTAAAACTCATGAAAATAAATAACATAAGACTGTTCTGAATAAATTTGAGTTAAGTGAACAGAACCCTTTTCTGTGTATGTGTATTGCGTATATACAGTTGTGTGCTCCCGTGAACACATGTTCTGTCGTTGAGCCTAGGACCAATATCCTCCATAGTGAAGGACATCTCATAATTTCCATTATAAATTATTTTAGGGTTTATAACTAATACTGTAAAAAATTCAGCCATGCCTGGAACTTATTTTATTGTGTTTGCAGGTTAGTTATTTCAAGGGAGCATGTAGATGAGAATATATCTTTGTCTTAGCAGTTGGAGGTGGTACAAATATTTTTGTAATTGTTGTGATGGATGGGAGGGATGTCATAAGTAGATCAGGGACCTCAAAGATTCAAGTGGCAAAGAGCAACACGTCAGTTGGATTCTGGATGCCTGAAGGGCAAATACGAAGTTTGATCTTTAACTTGCATGCTAATTATAAATGAGAGGCTACCCAGTATAGCATTGAATTCTGTGAATCTCTTTTTAAAGAAATTAATTGGCAGGAACGAGTGCATTCTTAGAGGCATGTAAGTTTATTTTTATCATTAAGACTAAGACTCAACTCAGAAGTCAACTCTTCTGGAAAGCCTGCAATAGTTTCTAAAATGTACCAAGCACTTTCAGGCAGCATGCTAAGCTCTTTTTTTTTTTTTTAATTTTTTTTTTCAACGTTTATTTATTTTTGGGACAGAGAGAGACAGAGCATGAACGGGGGAGGGGCAGAGAGAGAGGGAGACACAGAATTGGAAACAGGCTCCAGGCTCTGAGCCATCAGCCCAGAGCCCGACGCG